GTTTCAATGTATTTGGAACGACAGCTTTAAAATAACCAATTTTTAGGGGCAGTCATCGATTCGCTCCCGTGAGGGGAAGTGTCATTCTCCCACCATGCGGCCAGGGGCCTGAGTTCGGGGTTCGGAGCGGGCAGTCATCGATTTGCTCCCGTGAGGGGAAGTGGCATTCTCCCACCATGCGGCCTTGTACCTGAGTTCGGGGTTCGGAGCGAATGTAGCACAGCGGGGCGCCCGGTCCTTTAATCCCTCATTAAGCCATCCTTCCTTAAAGACATTCTTTAAAAAATATAAATTTCTTAAATATAAACATTTTTCAGTTTTCTTTATTGAATTCAGATTCCTTATTTTATTACGAATCCATACGTATGTTGTTGGGCGATTATCAATTTGCTCCCGTGAGGGGAAGGGGCCTTCCCCCACCATGCGGCCTTGTACCTGACTTCGGGGTTCGGAGCGAACGTAGCACAGCGGGGCGCCCGGTCCCTTAATCCCTCATTAAGCCATCCTTCCTTAATGACAGTGTTTAAAAAATATAAATTTCTCAAATATAAACATTTTTCAATTTTTTTTATTCAATTCAGATTCCTTGTTTTATTACGAATCCATACATATGTAGTTTGCCTTAAAAATTTTAGTATTTAAAAAGTTTAAAATTTATTATTAACTGACTGATTGTAATTCTTAAGTTTTTTCAGAATTCAACTGAAGTAAAAAGTAGATTATACAGCCAAAGAAAATATATATTTACTTGAAAGTCAAATTTACTATGAATTTATTTGAGTGTCAGTTCATAATAAATTAAAAGTTTTTTTAAATATTAACATTTTTAAGGCAAACAACATATGTATGGATTCGTAATAAAATAAGGGATCTGAATTTAATAAAAAAAACTTTAAAATGTTTATGTTTGAGAAATTTATATTTTTTAAACACTGTCATTAAGGAAGGATGACTTAATGAGGGATTAAGGGACCAGGCGCCCCGCTGTGCTACGTTCGCTCCGAACCCCGAGCTCAGGCCCCTGGCCGCATGGTGGGAGAATGCCACTTCCCCTCACGGGAGCGAATTGATAATCGCCCCCCCGAACTCAGGTACAAGGCCGCATGGTGGGGGAAGGCCCCTTCCCCTCACGGGAGCGAATTGATAATCGCCCTTCGGAGCGAACGTAGCACAGCGGGGCGCCTGGTCCCTTAATCCCTCATTAAGTCATCCTTCCTTAATGACATTCTTTAAAAAATATAAATTTCTCAAATATAAACAAATTTAAGTTTGTTTTATTAAATTCAGATCCCTTATTTTATTACGAATCCATACATATGTTGTTTGCCTTAAAAATATTAATATTTAAAAAAATTTTAATTTATTATTAACTGACACTCAAATAAATTCATAGTAAATTTGACTTTGAAGCAAATGTATATTTTCTCTGGCAGTATAATCTACTTTTTACTTCAGTTGAATTCTGGAAAAACTTGAGAATTATAATCAGTCAGTTAATAATAAATTTTAAACTTTTTAAATACTAACATTTTTAAGGCAAACAACATACGTATGGATTCGTAATAAAATAAGGAATCTGAATTCAATAAAGAAAACTGAAAAATGTTTATATTTAAGAAATTTATATTTTTTAAAGAATGTCTTTAAGGAAGGATGGCTTAATGAGGGATTAAAGGACCGGGCGCCCCGCTGTGCTACGTTCGCTCCGAACCCCGAAGTCAGGTACAAGGCCGTAGTGTGGGGGAAGGCCCCTTCCCCTCACGGGAGCGAATTGATAATCGCCCCTCCGAACCCCGAAGTCAGGTACAAGGCCGCATGGTGGGGGAAGGCCCCTTCCCCTCACGGGAGCGAATTGATAATCGCCCGGCTACTTCCCCTCACGGGATTAACTTGGAGATCGCCCGGAACAAGAAATAGTATTTTTATTTATTAAGGCTTTTCAACCCTTCTTTTCACCTTTAAAAACCACTTTTATTTCATCCCTTAAAGCAAAAAATTGTAAAACAGGAAATAAACTGTTTTTAGTTTTTTGTGTTTTCAATCTAAGAGCTCTATTGATATAGGTACATTATTTTCAGATTGATGTATCTGTTAAAACACTCCTGAAGGGAATTTCTTTAGATATATGTATTTGACATGTAGATATTGAGTGATATCGTATAAAATGTGTTTGTGAGTCTCTCTGTTTGTTATTTTTCTGTTATGTATTTGACAATACATTCCATTTTTATAAATGAGAGGAAGTACAAGAGTTCTCCAAATTGAACGTAAAAATACTACCAGAAAGTGTGTATCTCTATTTTTCTGTATGGGAATCAATGAATTTTTCACCTTACATCGATCGTTTTAATGAACTAATTCTTAAAGCATCGGAGCATGGATTACTAAAGGATTTTTACGAACCTTCGGTTAAATTTCAGAAGAAAACGCAGCCGAGTATGATTGAGGAGGAAACAATACTTTATATATTGTTTTACGTAGCAGTTGTTGGATATTTCCTTTCTATAATCGTTTTCTTATTCGAAATATTATCAAAAATAATTGAAAACAAAATGTACAGGCTTTAAGCGAGGTATAGAGTTTTGAATTAGAAAATATTGCAGTTCCTAAATTATGTAAAATACTTTCCATCGAACAGTGTGTGGTCCGAACAGGAAATAAATGTTTAAAATTCTTTGCTAGGTTTAATAATAAACACATGGACATAAGAAATATAGGGACAGGCCTCAAAGTCAAAATGTGGGCGAGGGGGGTACGTTGGCAGATCGGAAGGGAAAACGTTACGTTGGTCGATTCCCTATTGGTAAACTTAATGCGCAGGCGCCAATTGCCATATAACACGTACATTTTCTTAACCAATTAGCAATTCGCCAACGCCTCCCCTTACGGACTGCAAAGTATCCCCCCGCATCTATATGCCATGTCCCTATATTTCTTACGTCCATGAATAAACATTATTACATAAATTATGAAAATGAGAAATTTATCAAAAACTGTAAGACTTTTGTAAGTAAATATACAGAAATATTATTAAGTTAACTAAGAGAAAAAACAATGTTGGTCAATAATGTCTCGTTGAATTTGGAATCAACTCAAGATATTCGATAGTCCCAAAATTTTGTTCTTATTTTAGTAATATTGATATAACTTGAACAAATACCTTAAGAAAATTCTACAAACTGTTTAAAACTAAAAAAAACTGCCTAGTTAAAGTGTTCTTAACGTCACTTATGTCAAAATTAATGTGAAACAATTTGTTTTATAAAAATTTCTTCGACAGTTAGAAAATTTTTCTTACTGTTCAAAGTGTTTGTGCATTATGAAGACTATGAGTTTGTATTTTGTTATCTACATTCTCTGAAAAAATCTTAGGATACCAATTGTATACTTTTACTATAATAATTGTTATATCGTCAGAATTCTTTCAAATGTTTCTAGTAACAATTGCAACGATTATTGTATTTCGATTGGTAGCAATTTTTCTAATATTAAAAAAAACTGCATGGCGAACGTTAAAAATCAGTCAAATTATAATGGGATTACCAGAAAATCAAGAGCCATAGAATATCAAGGGAAGAATAATCTTCGGTTCACTTTTAATTTCCTGTATCGTCTATTCATTCAGGTTACGTTTACTCGGTTATTTTGAACATCAGTTGGCTTTCGGAAACGGAAATTTCAACTCTCGACGAATTGGCAAATTATTCATTACCACCAATGATACTAAGTGGAATTAAACTTTCACTAAGTAGCTTATTATATCTCTGTAATTGGATATTCACTTTCAACTGTTGTTTTTATTTATGAAATTCTAAAAACAAAGTTTGAATATAAACTGTATGAATTTTATGCCAGATTTCGACAACAAATATAGATATACTTTGCACTTTTTTGTTTGTTTTTCATAATGGAAAAAAATTTTCGGTGCAACGGTTGTATCTAAAATTGTAGTTATTTGTATTAATAACCGCTTATTTATGTTGATTTTAAGCGTCCCAATATATTTTAAACGTTTTAAATTAATACATATCTGTTATTGTAAGTGGAAAATTATTATATTTCTTGAATTCTATTAACCGAATGCCTACCTATACATAAAATTATAAGTTCCACTTTGACTAATAATCATTGCAACTCTTATAATTTTTATAAACATGCAACAATTATTTTATTTTTATTCACAATTTTCACCTAATTACTAAGTTCAATATATTACAAATTTCTTTAAATACAATAACACTTTTTTATTCACTTTACTTTAATACTATTTGAATCATTTAAATACATTTTTAATTTTTCAAAATGAAATATTATTTTTTATTTTTGTTCACAATTTTCACTTAATTTTTTTATCACTTTTAATATTATAACACTTTCTCACAATTCAAACAATTTAACAAAAAATTGTAAAATTTTTCATACGATTTGAAAACTATTGAAATTTATTACCAACACATTAATTCAATTAGCGACAATTGAAAACAATAAAGAATCAGTTAACTGTGAATAGTTGCAAATCGTGGTCAATCGATTTCGTCTATAAGGGCGAATAATTCTGTAACCACCAAAGTTAGTAGATATTTTATTTATTGTCTGAATATTATTTTACTTTGATTCTACTTAATATTTGAATTTTTACTTTTTCATTGCATTGTAATAATTGTTCTCATACCTTTCTTTAAGTAAATAAATAAATAATTCGAATTTATTGACAATCTTTGAAATAAATAGTAATAGTTTTTGAATAAAATCACGTGGGGAAAAATCAGAAAAAAAATTTTTTTTTTGAAAAGCAATTCCTAAATTCCGCGAAATTTAAAAAAAATCCCAGACTTTACAGTGTGCTACCATCTCCCGCTGAATGAGAAAAGGTACAACGAGGGTCATCATCTCTCGTTTGCGCACGCAACTTGCTTATCGACAAGAATTGTCGAACAACTGAGTACCAAAGGAGAGAGAGAGAGAGAGAGAGAGAGAGAAAATCAACGTGAACAGCGTGAACAGTGAGAAATTAGCGCGTGTGCAATAGTTCTCTCTGGCGTTTCTACTGAACTCAGCTGGAACTCTTGACATTCCGGGAGTCGGCTCTATTGGCACATGGTGTTTCATTTTGACTTATAATTTTACAATTTTTTCTGACAATCTTAAACCTTAAATTCTCAAACAAATACACATCGTGCGTACTTTTAATTTTAAAAATATAAAAATTTAATACCTAAAGAGTTAGAAAAATTTTAGAAACGAAAATAGGGGGGAATAAGGATAAATTAAAAATCAGTGGGGGCATTTTTGTTTAAATAACATATCAAAAAAAGAGGAAGGAAACATTTTATCGATCATGGTTAGAGGTGAGGAAAACAAAGGAAATACGAAAATTGACATTGAAAAACCAAAATGGGATCAGAGCAATTATACGGGAAGGGCCAGACATTTTTTGACCTTGACAAATCCCTTAAATGTTTTTGCCTCATCGAGTCAATTGGAGCGGGCACGGGACATCGTTCAAAACTACAGGTATATAACTTGTTTGACCACTACATATTTCTCTAACTTTCATTATAATCGAGGTCTTTTGCCTTCAGTTCATATGATAACTTGTAAACTTACAATATATTAAAATAAGTTTTCTCAAGTCACGTTAACATTTATAACTATAATTATTTCCTTTTCGAATTTAGTTACATTTTTCCTTATTACATATCTCCCTCGCCTCATTTTTCATTGCCACTAATTTTTATGTAATTAATTTTAATCAGTAATCACTTAAAACACATTTTCCATAATGAGTTAACATTAATTTTTGTGATTATAAAAATATTAATAAATAAAAATAATAGCAGTTGTAATAACAATAATAATGATAATGATAATAATGTTAATAATATAACGATAACAATAATTATAATATTTTAATTTTTCCCGGAATGATTCACGAAACAATTATAATTATAATGATATAATTAAAAACAATAAAAATAACAATAGGAATTATTGTTGTTGTCTCAGTTAAGAATTCTGTATTAATAATTAAGTATAATTGTATAAAGGTTATTTAAATTAGCAATTTTGTCATTAATTAACATTATAAGTTACTTAAAATAAACGCGAGAGATTTACATTTTAAAAAATTTTCATTTCGCAAAAATTCTTCTTTGTTTTTTTTTTATTTTTAGATCAAGGACGTACTTTATATTTCAAAAATAATTTGGACTTTATCTTCTTATAGTTGCCAAATAAATATACACGATTTGAATTTATCAAAAAGTAAATTTACTGTTGAAAAATTCTCTCTTTACCAAAAAAAGAAGAAAATTTAAACACAAAAAAATTTGCAAAGCTTTGAAAGTTACTAGACTAATTGAAACAAAAAAGCGAGATTTAGATATTGATAAAACTAAGAAAATTTATTTATATAGTGAAATTGCACAGTAAAAAGTAAATCTTAATTTAAGATCAGTCTTCAATTCAGCACTGTCTGCTCTAATGTTAAATCATACAAAAACCATTGCTTAAATTCAGCATTGACTGTCTTAAAAATGTTGCGTCTTAATTTTAAATTAAGACTGCTTTCCTGCCTTAAAATAAGACTTTCTTTTTACTGTGTAGTTATAACCCTTGAAGTACACACTGAGTACAGATCGCCCCGGTGTTTTTTTCAAATGCGTTCCATTCTTTAAAGCATGTCATTTATTGTTAAATGTTTATAAACAAATTAATTTTCTATCAATAAAACTATATTTTTCATATTCCTCTCAGAACATTTCCTATCGATTAAAAAAAATCGACTGAATTTCATCAATTTGAGACAAAGATATAAGGTTTCAAAGTATTGCAGGGTACAAATCGCCCATGTGTGTATCGAACGTAAGTTTTTGAAGTGTGTACTTTATAAGGAATAACATTGATGTTGATATTAAGTTAATAATTTTAGTATTATTTATTAATAGTAATTAATATTTATTATTAATGTATCAAGGTTAAGGTAAATATTTAATAAAAATAATAAAATATTCAAACATTTTAATAACAATAGTTAATTATTGTAAACAATAAAGGATTTAAGAAAAATTTCAATTATTTTTATTTAATTTAGAAAAAATAGAAAAAATTCTATTGGAAAAAAATATTAGTAAAATTGAAAATTGCTCTCTATTAATCAATAAAGTTAAAAAATCTTTACAGAACGAAAATAATTTTAGTTACAAGAGAAACGAACTTATAAATTATTTTAATGTCTCGAAACATCGTGAATTACATTTAAAATTAAGAAGTCATTTTGGCACATTATACATAGATGTGTACATATAGATATATTTTTAGCCTTATAGAAATAAAAATTGCGTGACAAAAAATGTTCTCAATCACTTCTCACAATAAGTCAATAAGAATCAATTAAGATATAATTTGTAATGATTGAAGATAAGGAAAAAATTTTTACCAACATTTTTATTCTTTTGTTTAATAATCATGTTAAATATTCAAAATTACTAATGAATGAAATAACAATTGAACTAAAACATAATTACGCTATGTTTACGGATACAAATTCTCATTAATAAAACATCAAACAACTCAATATAACTGAATATGCAAATTTATGTATATTTTTCTGTTCTTTCAAAAAACAATACTTTTCCTATTACTTTTTCATTTTCTTAACTTTTCAATTTTTCCTTTCATAATATAAATATATATTATTGCTTTTGCTAACAAATAAAAAAGCAGAAAATGAATCAAAATTCATCAACAAATAATAAATTTTGAGTTAAATGTTTGAATTTTATCTTCAAAGTTGGAATCGAGGAGAGGGTAAAAATTTATAAAAATATAAATTGAAATTATAAAATGAAATTAAAGTCTCGATATAAGAGGTTTAATGATAAAATATTAAGAAAATCTTTTATGTTTATGTAAATTAAAGACAAAGGTTCTTATCTCGAGTGAGGTCATGACTCAATTAAAATAGCCTCCCATATCAAGAGATCAAAAACCTCAATAAAATCCAAATTTAACATTCGTTTTAGATTCTGTCTTGAAAACAATTTGTGTCACATTAACACAAAGTCTATAAGTAATGTTAAAAATAGCAGAAACTACGTCAGACTCTTCTTTTTTTACTACAATTTTTTTCAAAATTCCCGATTTCTTTTTTTTCTAATTTCTTCAATTTTATTATTTTGACTTTTTTAATTTTTCCTCTAATATTTAAAAAAATTTACTTTTAACTTTTTTCTTTATTTTTCTAATTTTATTATTTTTAATTTTTCAATTTTTTCTCTATATTTATATATAATTTTATTATTACTATTTTTTCAACTTTTTGAATTCATTTCATGATTAAGAAAAAAATTACCATTGAAAATGTTATTAATTTAATTCTTAAATTAAATTAAAATATTATATCGATCAAGCCATCAATAACAAAAATATTCAATGTTATTAGATATACATTTTAATGTAATTTTCCTTATAATATTGTAAATAATTATTGTTTATGCGATCAACAAAGTAAAATTTCAATTTATTAATATAATTGCCCTATTCGTAAAAATGGAGAAAAAAATGTGTATGAATATTTATAGGAATATTTATAAATAAACATTTCATTCTAAATCATATATAAATTATAGGACTTTCACAAACTTTTCTAAAAAAAATTTTCAATCTCAGCAATTATTGAAATTAATGGTAAATTTACAGCTATATGTGAAATTTGATACAAATGAATATTTCTTCAGGTAATAAAAACTTTATCTCATTACTTTATGATCATGTCGATTAATAATAAAATTATGTTCATCAAAATTGAGACGAACGTGCGTATTAGATATGGTAATAAACACCGATTAGATTTACTTTTTGCCTTACAAACGACTGTCGCGTTCACTATTTCATAACATAAAACTGTCACCGGTATCAATAAAATATTTGCCACCAACTTTCATTCACTTTTTAAAAATTAAAATTAAGACATTTTAAAATTATTATTATTTACTTATTACTATTGCTATGTAATTATCATTATTACTATTTTTAACTTTTACTATTAATATTTTATTATAATTAGTATTATTAATATATTATTTTACATATTCAGATATATTAGTAATTTTAGAAAAAAATCTAATCATCGGGACAGGATTCGAACCCCGAACTTAACACACAATAAAGTTACGCCTTACACCCTGCAGCCAAAATTTCTTTCCATTCTTCTTACTGTTTTCTTTATCAAACTACAGTAAAATTTTCACAAATTTTAATCAATTTACATTTTTCGATTTTAAATATTTATAAGAACAGTTGGTACAGAAAATATAATTGCGAATTTAGTGTTTATATTTAAGAATTAATTACCTTGATTTACATTAATTTCTAAATAATAATTTAGGAAAGGATCAACGTTAGAGGATTTAAAGATCACGGAAGATGAATTGTGGACGAATAAATATCTTTACGACAGCGCCTATCATCCAGATACTGGAGAGAAAATGACCCTGATTGGACGCATGAGCGCACAAGTTCCAATGAACATGATCATCACTGGATGCATGATGACGTTCTACAAGTATGCAAATCTCTCGAGACACATTCAGTAAAGCTACTACTCTCTTTCGCCGATAACAATCAATAAGCAGACCCCCAGATATCCAACTGGCTGGAAATCTTTCTCAATATATGGCAGTTTTTATAGACTGCGATAAGGTTAGCCGCGACCCCACACCTCTCTGTCTCTCACTCTCTTTTATATTCTTTGTATTACTAATCCAGTTTCTTGTTCTTATTCTTGATGTATATATACAATAATTTACCAAAAACAAAAAAAATGGTTCCAGAAATTTATTAAGAGTATTCTATTAGATTACTAAATATTAACAGTATTCTAAAAATATGAAAAATATATTCTGTTTTGGAATTAATTTTAGAATTTTAATAATGTTTATAAGTTAAGAAGTCAGTACTACCAAAAGTTTATCTAAAAAAGAATTGTACAAAAATAATTCCAAAAGCAAAGTGGAAAATCTTTGTAGAAATTTCCCGGTAGGTTTTAAGAGCTTCACTGAATTGTTGTCCTGCTTTTTGTACTTTTTATTTTTTTAGGTTGAGTCCACAATAGAGACTTTTATGTTTAATTAGCGCGTTACTGGCAAATTATAAATAATAGAAGCTTTTTTTGATAAAAAGTTGGTAACGCGTAGACTTAACGTTACAATCTTTATTGTGGAATATTAAGGTTATGATATTCAGTGGTCACGTGACTAATGCTGCTGTCCAAAGTAAAAACCTACAGGGTTGCCAAAAATTTTAATTTTCTTTTCCCCTGATTTCCATACAAAAATGTTGACTTTTTCCCTCACCCTAAAGAATAGTATATGATTCACTCTAAAAATGATTAGATACTCAAGAAAATGTTCTCTTACATTTATTTCCAAATTTATTTAATATTGTAAAAACTATTCATTCGAAAACATCCATAACTTCCTTTTTAAATAAATATTTAATCATTATTGGTTTTCCATAGAAATTAAGGTTTTCAAAAGTTTCAAATTCAAACCTTTTGAAATTCAATAACATATAATATAAGAATATTATTATGAAACATAAAGAAATCGTTTACTCCGAGTCTTCGACTCGGAGTAATCGATATTTTCATGTTTTACAATAATAATTAAAGATGCCCAAGTGATAAAATCATTACCTTCTATTATAAGAATATTGTTACTGTAACTTCTTCAAAATCATTTTCATCATTTCAATTCAATTATTATTTTCTAGAATTTTTAACTAAAATTCTTCTTTAAAGCAATTATTTTTAATAATTTTTGAAAAAGTTCTTTGAGTATTTTCAAATCCATGTGTTTACAATTCAATTCTACGAAATTTCGGTTATTCGGAAATTCTTCAATTAAATATACTATAGAAAAAAAACTTCAAATAATTTTTAAAAAATTCAATTAAACCTTTTCAAAAAAATTAATTCTACAGAATTGTTATAGTTAAAAAGATGCAAACTTCGAATTCTCAAAGATTTGAATTTGAAACTTTTTCAAAACTTATTTATTTTTAAAAATTCATGCTATAATGTTTTTAATATTCAATTATTATTTAAAATTTTAACTGAAATTCATTTTTAAATCAATTTTTATTTAGAAAATTCCACGAGAATTCAATTATTTAAATCCAAAAATAAATAATTTATTGAATAATTAAATGTTTTTCAAAATTGAATTCTCATAAAGAATTTTAATAACAAATTTTTAAATAATTCAATTCTTTTAATAAATTTTAATAAAATTTTTAAGAATAATTACATTTTTTGAGGAATTCAATAAAAATATTGTATTTAAAATAATTGAAATTCTGCGATGAGTTTTATTATTTAAGTTTAAGAAAATAATGGAATTATTGAGAAGAAATTTATAAAAAATTTGAAAATAATTGAATTCTTGTGAAATTTTTATTATTTATGAAAATAATTAAATTCTTATTTAAAAAGATAATTGAAATTTTGACGAAAATTTTTTTAAAATTTTTGAACATAATTGAATTTTTGCAAAGAGTTTTATTACTTTTAAAAATAATTGAATTTCTGCAATCATTTGTAACTTCTCCAAAATTGAATTTTTTTCATTGTTTTTTTAATAAAATTCTTCTGTAAATCCATTATTTTTAATAATTAATTAAATATATTTAAGAAAGTTTAACTAATTTCTCAAAGAATTTAAATTATTAAAATTTTTCAAAAATCCAAGTTCTTTAAAATTTCTAACTAAATTCATTAAAAATTGATAATTTCATAAAATTTCAAACTAAAACCTATTGAAGTTCATCTATTTATATGAAAATTGTAAACGCAACTCTTTTAAAATGCAATTAATTTTGAAATATTGAAGTAAAATTATTCCTTAATTAATTTCTAAGTAATAGTTTGATGATAGTTCTTGAAGAATTAAATTATTTAAAAAGAAATTATTGTCAGAAATAGAAAAAATTTAAGGTTTCGTATTAGAATTCGTGATAATTTCATAGTTTATGAGGCAAACAAAAATTCATAATTTTCTTACACTGAGAGACCTTTGGGTCAGCAGCACTTTCGATAGGCTGCTACCAGAGATGTTAACTATTTCAAATAAATCTATTTCAAATGCAAAATAGAAAATGCAAAATGCCTATTTTCATTTTACATTTTAAATGCATTTGCCGAAAACCATTTTGCATTTTGATTTGAAATGGTTTTTTTCATTATTTTGTATTTGAAAATGCAAAATACAACAAAAATTTTTTTATATTGTAGCAATTTTTTCTTTTAAGGAGGTTCTCCGGCTAATTCATTTTATTTTAAATTTTACCAAACTTTTTGGGAAAATATTCATTTTTACATGCTGAAAACGGAAATTTTCAGGTTCAAAGTTTCAATATTTACATAGGATTTCACATCCAGCATTCGAAAATGAGATATTTTATTTAATTGCTGACAAAGTTTTCTTACAATTTCTTCAAAAAAGTAGTTTATTGTATAAAGTCAAATTAATAGAATAATATATAAAACAGTTTCATAGGGGATACAATCTTATTTTATGGAAAAGTCAAAAAGTTACGTAAAAATAAAGTTCATTTAAAAAAAGCATTTTATTTTGTAAAACCATTTTGAAAATGCGAATTTTCTATTTTGCATTTGAAATAACTTTTTGAAAACTATTTTATATTTTATATTTGAAATACTTTTTGTGATACCATTTAGTATTTAGCATTTTAAATAGGTTTTGAGACCCATTTTTAACATCTCTGGCTGCTACTGACCATTTTGGTGGTACGCTACAGGACTATACTTTTGGGTTGCTGCGGTATAATTTTGGGCGCGTGACAGTCCAAAAATTGATTAGCTGCAAACCAATGACGGCATCCCCACTACTTCAGTGAGCTTCTCACCAACATTTTGGACTGTCACGCGCCCAAAATTGTATCGCAGCGCACTAAAACCATAGTGGAGCTGCTATCTCATACGTTGTTCCGCTGCAGTCCAAAAGGTCTCTCAGTGTATGAATTTTTTAAAAATCCCTGACTTTTCCCTGAATTTCCTGACCCATGTCAACCCAGACCTAGTAACCATATTTTCCATACACTGAGAAAACTGGAGTATTGGACTAAACATCTGAAGGGACAAATCGTTGATATTTGAGAGTTAGCTATTGGATAACAATCTAAATGTTCAAATACACCATTGACAGATATTCGTGCCATTTCTCTTGGAGGGAAAATGAGTTTATAACAGAGGGACAAATTAACCATCTTGAGAAATCCCTTCCTTATCCGGCGCGAAATGAATAAATATGGCAACCTAACCCCTAAATTAAATACATAAAATGTCAGAAAAATAATTTCGCGCGCATCAAATCGTACACATTTTCTGCGCAACTTTTAACCCTCAGATATAATGGGAGAGAATATACAAGTAGATTTCCATTATCAATTCAAAATTTATTTTAGAAGGACTATTTAACTCTCTTCATAAGCAAAGGAAACATACACTTTTTGAACCTCCGAATTTGACACTCCAGTTTTCTCAGTGTAAGGTCGAAGTTCACTTAGGTTATAAACAAATCACGAATTCACGACCTTACGGAATTTTGACTTTAGACAGCAAAATAGTACATAGAGATGTTCAATTGTTACGTCATACTCGGTTGGTAAAGTAACAGAAATGCTGAATAAAATGACCTTAAGGATAATGAGTAATCTGGAAAATTGGCAAAATTGTCAGCTAATTAACAATTTCCATGATTACATCGATCCTTGGAGGAGAAAAAGAAACAAATGAAAATAAAAAAATGATTTTTAGATCAACACCTGCTGTTGTTTTTTGGCAATGGTGTAATCAGTCGTTCAATGCACTGGTAAATTATACAAATCGAAGTGGATCGTCGCCAATTCCAGTGGAAACGTTGATCCAGAGTTATGTGGGCGCAACAGGTGGCGCTGTTGTCACGGCTCTCTCGCTAAATCGACTTGCGAAACGAGCGCCACCACTGGCAGGACGCCTAGTACCATTGGCTGCAGTGGCAGCTGCCAATTGCATTAACATTCCTCTAATGCGAATTACCGAACTCAAAAGTGGCATTGAACTTCAAAACAAGAGTGGAACAAAAGTTGGCAACAGTCAAAAAGCAGCGCGAGAAGCTATTGCTTCAGTAACTGTCTCTCGTATTCTCATGGCTTCACCTAGTATGGGTGAGTATTATTTTTATTGCACCGTCAATGCAAAATTCATTCATTCATTCATTTCAAATTAACAATTATGGACATAATGTTCCATTTGCAAAATTCAAAATGCCTGCTTTAGTAACAGAAAAAGAAAATCAAAAAAGAAATACACTAATTTTTTCCTCTTTTACAGTGTTAGCACCCGTAGCAATGAACTACATAGATAAGAGGCAACTGCTCAAAAATATCAAATGGGCCGGAGCACCAATTCAAGTGGCCCTGTGTGGTATTTGCCTGACATTCGCAACCCCCTTGTGTTGCGCCCTCTTCGCCCAAAGAGTCACAGTACCTGTAGAAAGCCTCGAAACCGAAGTCCAAGAACAGATACACAATAAAGACAAGAGTCTAACAACTGTTTTCTATAACAAAGGTCTTTAACTTCCACACATGTTCAGTGCTTTTATCAAAGAAAAAGATGAAAAAAAGAATCCACTTCCACAGCTTGTAAATTTAGCAATAAGAAGATTTATGTAGGGAAAAAATACATAACTATGTCACAATAGAAAATTATTGACACTATGGTCAGGAATCTCGATGAATATCATTAAAAATGATAAATATGATGAAGAAATGAAGAAATAAAAATGAAGACAAATGAAAATGCATTTATAATTGTTTTAAAATTTATCAAATTTACGCACATTTTAAGATTTACATTCTCCACTCTATGCTGTGAAACTTAAGACAATAAAAAAGTTTTATTCCGTCTAAATTTGTTTTATGAATTTCAACTAACAGAAATGTTTTTTACTTCCTCAGCTTCGTTTTTTTTAATATTTCTAAAGACAAAAATAATAATCTACTTTAAATGTTGTTGGTGTTGCTGATTACAATTCCGATGCTTGTTTTTAATAATTCAACATGGCGGATTCAACATGGCTGACAAAAAAAGTTAAAAATCAATCGGATTCCTTGAAACTTGTTACTTGGGAATTTTTTAGGGTTTCTGGTTACGAATATAATTTTAATATTTCAAAATGACTTCAAAAAATCTCGAGTAAGAAGTTTCAAGCAAATCTGAATAATTTTTAAGTTTTTCGTCCGCCACGTTGGATCCGACATTTTGAATTTTTCAAAATGAACTTCAGATTCGTAATCAGGGACATCAAAAATCTCCAAGTAAAAAGTTTCAAGCAAATACTATTAAACTTTTTAATTTTCCTGACATTTTGACCCAAATTTGTAAATCTGAGTTGTTAATAGCGATTTTTTTCATAGACTTCGATGTTTTACGACCTCAAGAACTCAAAAGTTTTTTGTACCAATTTTTAGGTCACTTTTTGGGCCAACTTATAGAAATAGGGTTGTTGTTGTGATTTTTTTCAGTATTTTAACTTAATCCTTATTTGCCATACTGAAATAGATCATTTTATAAAAGAATTCATAACTTTTTTACTTTTTAACATTGAAAGCTGAAACTTTTACCGAGTCTTCTATTAACGTATTACTATAGGGAAATATTATCTTTAGTGGCTTTTGCAAAAAATGTAATTATTCAAACCTTTTAACCTATTAGCAAATATTTTGTTGTAATAAATTTTAGTCAGATTTAAAAAATTTCAAAAATTGATCATTTAGAAATGAGTATTTTTGTGGTTTGTTTGGTTTAACCTTCGCGCTACCAACGATTTTTTATATCGCGGGCTCCGATGCGGTCATCCGGGGTGACCAAACGCTTCTTTATTTTTATTTTCCAAAAACGATTTAAATTCGTCAAAGTTTTTCCATATAATTATGTGTTAATACAAATACTGTATTTTAATAATGTTTTTATGCATATTGCAGATAAAAATTGAATTATTATTTAAACAATTTTTAAACAAATTATTGTTTTTATTTACCAACTTTTTACAGAATGCACCTAGAAAGTTGGAGTTTTTTCCTAATTTTGAAATTTACAAAATTCTATATGATTACAGATAAAGAATAAAATTTGAATTATTATTTAAACAATTATTAATATAAACAAATTATTGTTGTTATTTACCAACTTTTTACAGAATGCACCTAGAAAGTTGCAGTTTTTTTCCTAATTTTGCAATTTACTAAATTCCATATGATTACAGATAAAGAATAAAAATTGAATTATTATTTAAACAATTTTTAAACAAATTAATAATTTGTTTATAAATTGTAATCTGTAATCATATATGGTTTAGTTAATTGTAAAATTACGAAGAAACTGCAACTTCCTAGGTGCATTCCGTAAAAAGTTGGTAATTAACAACAATAATTTGTCTAAACAAATAAAAAGTTCATTGTAACATCAAAATATATTGTATTTATTGACATAAAACAATTTAACTGTAAAACTTTAATGATTTTATTTTTTTGCAATATACAAAATAAACACCCGTGCAATTTTCAGTAGTCTTGTACATACTTTTTTAATTGTTATAAATAAATAAAAAAAAAAATTTTAATTTTTTTATTTTTCGGAAGATAAAATATTGTTCAGTGACTTAAAATCGCGATTCGATTGATGCAAAAGTCAAGCAGATTTACAACTTTTCTCATTGTTTGGTCACCCCGGGTGACCGCTTCGGAGCGCGAAGATTAAATCTTTGAAATGTTTAATATTTTTTCTTTACTCATCTATTGGTTTCATAGAATTTTTTTAAACTTTTATAACTCTGAAATTTTCACTAATTAGTCAAAAAATGCTTTATTACAAACTATTAAAGCAAAAACTTTAATAAAAATAAAAATTTTTTTTAAACTTCTATATAACTCTGGCTCTGGATAAAATTGTAGTAGAATTGTCACTAACAAGTCTTTTGACTTGTTAGTTATAGAAGTTTCAAAAATTTTTAATTTTGACAAAAGTTTTTGCTTTAATAGTTTGTAATAAAGCATTTTTTGACCAATTAGAGAAAATTTCAGAGTTATAAAAGTTTTAAAAATTGAAAACTTTGAAAGAAGTCCGTTTTTGTACACAAAAATATTTAAAACTCATCAATTTTTTAAATTGAAATTTTTTTTAAAAAGTCATTCTTTTTGTTTTTATCTTTATCATTTTTTTATTTTTTAATTGTGTAAATAAAGTAATTTAACAAATAATATTTTTTAATATATTAGCGAATAATCTGATGTAATAAATTCTATTCAAAATTATATAAAAAATTAAAAATTATAAAAAACGTAACTTTTACCATTTTTTGTTGTAAATTTTAACTTAAGTGTCTTCTAGAGTTATGCTTTTTACTTTTCACTATTTGAATATTTAATATCCATGTGATACTTTCGTCCCTATGAGAAAACATTGCGTTCATGAAATAGAAACAAAATGTAACGCACCCAAAGTGATTGTTAAGGGAGTACCACTCGTCATTTTTTTTTAAACTAAAACACTGGTGGACTACTATATAAATTATATATTTAATTCTTAGCAATAGAATACAAATTAAAATCCAGTTAAAGTGAATAGTTTCCTAGAATGTTGATCTGGAGTTCTTTTTTGTAATCTTACTAGAGGTTTCATGGCCTTTAATTTACGACCATGTCGACCGGTTTTCTTCTGCTTAAGTCCACTTCTCGGCCTGTTGCCCAATTCTCGATTACGTTGCGCACTACCAATGTGTGTTGATCCATGTTTTGGATTTGAAACTTGACCAACCACCGCTAGACAATGATTATCGAAACTATATTCAATGGGTCGTTTGCCGTTCAGTCGAATGACCATACGATTGTCGCCGTCCTTTCGCATTATTGTGCCCCTAACACCGGCAGCTTTTAAAATTCCGGCACCCTTGCCGGGGTATTTTTCCACGCAATGCACAGAAATACCTACTGGAAGTGCGCCCAAGGGATGTGCGTCACCTTCCTTTGGCTTTATTGGATTTCGAGGAATATTTCGTGTCGTTCTTATGATATCGCCCTCCTTCATACTGTTACTTGCAACAATGTATTTGAGTTCAGTGCCAGAGGCAACGAGAGCAACGTATGCTGTTCGACAACCATCTTTGAAAATTTTCAGTATTTTCTCTTCTTTTGGTGGTCCCTCGGTTGGACCATCTCTCAACCATTGAATTTGATGGTACTTGTGCTTAATGCCTCCACCAATGCCCTTGCAAACTAATCTGCCTGTTAAATAAAATGATAATTAAATAGCATGTAGTAGTAATTTGATTTTTATTTTATTTTAAACCAATAATAATCAATTTTTCATACCTCAGGCACAAAATAGGCGCTTTTAGATAGTAGCCGACAGGAACTAAAAGCCATTCATTTGTTCACTGGAATGAAAATGGCGACCTTTTTTTCCCATGGGCAAAAAAAAACAGCTGGTCCCATGCGTTATTTTTGCCCATGGGAAAAAAAGGCCGCCATTTTCATACAAGTGGAACAAGTGAATGACTTTTACTCTCTATCGTCTGCTATCTGAAATCGCCACTTTTGTGCCTTTGGAATAAAAAATATCGTAAGTAACAAGGTACGTAAATGGCTGCCTTTTCACTTTTTTGACTCGCATTTGGAAAAAAATAAACTAAAAATTCATATTAAAATTTATAATTATCTTTTATTAATACTATAACAAAAATCAACTTTTATCTTTTCATTTTGCAAACTTTAATTAAAAATAAAAGACTGTTTCTATTTACTCCTAAAAAGTGGAAATTCGGGGTAAATAGACATAGAAATTTCAACAATATTTCTTATAATAGAAAGAGAGAAAATATGAGTGAATGAAAGATAATAAGAGAGAACAAACCTTTGTTTGTGTAATGTGTTTTAACTTTTGGCATGGTTTATTTTTAAACTTATGTAGTGCATTATTATTTATTAGTTTGAATTATTTTATAACTAGCAACATTTTTTATGTAATTCTGTGTATTTTTTAACAGTTACATACTTAAAATTAATTTTTTCTTAAATTTTGTAAGAAACAGTTGATTATTGCTATTTAATGATATCCATATTTTCTACTACCCCATAAATTTGTTTCACGGAAGTAAAATAATAGCTCAATATACAAAAAAACCGAAAGTATTCCGATTTAACAGAAAAAATTTATGTTATTGGTGAAACTTAGCAAATCTGTTTGTATATTTACCCACTGACCCTAATCTGTTTTTTTTACTTCAATTGCATAAATAATCGTTTCAATAAGCTTCAATTTATCATAATTTTTTATTGAATTAAAATTTACTTAGTACAAATTTAAATAATAATTTTAATTACTGGGCCAAAATAAGTGAAACCGGCCACTTGAAAAATTTTTGTCTCCAATTTTCAAGTTATCTATGATTTTTGGTAGATATATGAGTACACTTTTTCCCCCTACAATATTTTTCAAAAATAATGTATTATTAAAGTAATCAGGTGTTGAAGTTTTGGGTCATTTTATTTTCATTTTATTATATCTTTTTCCAGGAACTCGAGTCAATTTTCGCCTGCATCTTGGCAGAAAAATCTACACAATTTCTATAATATTGAAGGTTACTGATTTTTCTTTTTTTTTTAAATTAATCATTGGAGTTTTGCGCATCAATACATGACAATTTAATCGTTTAAAAACATTGATAACATTCTTCAATTTGCAATTGTTTAAAAAAATTGTTAATAACAATTATAAATTTTTAATTTAAAGCAATCGCTTTATTTCATCTTTAAAGTATAGACTTTAATATTTAATTTAAAAAAAAATTCATTTAATTATCTTTATTTGTTTTAAAATAATAATAAAATGAAACTAAAATAACCCAAAACTCAACACCTGATTACTTCAAAAATAATTTTTTTTTTTTTGAAATATATTGTAGGGGGAAAAAGTGTACTTATTTATATCTACCAAAAATCATAGATAACTTGAAAATTGAAGACAAAAATTTTTCAAGTGGCCGGTTTCACTTATTTTGGCCCTACGCAGATTTAAAATTATGTAAATTTCTATATATTTAAAAATTAACCATTTCATGTGGAAAAATATTTAAATTTTTAAACTATTTTAACTGCAATTATTATTAAGGAGGTTGTTTACAGGTATGCAGACCTTCAAAAAAAATATTGAATTGACATTAAAGAATTTTTTAATATTATTGTTAAGTATTCGTATTTTCTGGAAGAACAAATATCAATTTTCAAGAAAAAATTTGATACTTACAAAAATTGTTTATTTAGTCATTTTGCATATGATCAAAGTTTTCTTCATATTAAAAGGTTAAACTTTTTAAAAAAAAATCACTTTTTTTAAACAAATAAGCACATTTTCAAAACGGTGAAGTTGTTTATAAATCTGAGCGATCAAGTTATAGAGAACCATTTTCTGAAGAAAATAAGCTATCATTGACTTAAGGCGTACTTGCGTTTGAGAAGGCAAAAAGAGGCCCCACTTTCATGTTTTTTTTCACAGTAATTTTATTAAAAATATTAAAAACGATTTTTGCACCTTGAAGTACATTATAAAAACTAAAAAAAGAAAAAATTGTTTCGTTTTTTAACCGTTATATTTACGATTCGTAGAGGGCCCCAAAAATTAGCGATCTCAAATTTGTAAGAGTTTGCGGTGGCCCGCATAGAGCCCCTCCTGACTGTCAAAAATTAAAAAAACAAAATTTATTCTTCAGTATACATTAATACCTAGTGGACGTATATGATGAAATTAAAAAAAAGTAAAAAAAACGAAAATGCGGTACTTTTAAAGTCAATTTTTAAGAAATGATGATTTTGATCTTTTGAATTTTTGACTTTAAAAGTACCGCATATTCGTTTTTTTTTACTTTTTTTTAATTTCATCATATACGTCCACTAGGTATTAATGTATACTGAAGAATAAATTTTGTTTTTTTAATTTTTGACAGTCAGGAGGGGCTCTATGCGGGCCACCGCAAACTCTTACAAATTTGAGATCGCTAATTTTTGGGGCCCTCTACGAATCGTAAATAACGGTTAAAAAACGAAACAATTTTTTCTTTTTTTAGTTTTTATAATGTACTTCAAGGTGAAAAAATCGTTTTTAATATTTTTAATAAAATTACTGTGAAAAAAAACATTAAAGTGGGGCCTATTTTTTGCCTTCGCAAACGCAAGTACGCCTTAAATCGAATCAGTTTTGAAAAAGTTTAACCTTTTAATATGAAGAAAACTTTGATCATATGCAAAATGACTAAATTAACAATTTTTGTAAGTTTCAAATTTTTTTCTTGAAAATTGATATTTGTTCTTCCAGAAGATACAAATACTTAACAATAATATTAAAAAATTCTTTAACGTCAATTCAATATTTTTTCTGAAGGTCTGCATACCTGTAAACAACCTCCTTAATATGAAAAATTTATGTAGATATTATTAGTATGTAGATATTATTAGTTATTTTCTACGTAAACTTTTTTCAAATAAAATAATTTATATTTTGAAAAATAATTTATATTTTAATTTAATTTAAAAAACAGGGTACTCTGATCTTAATAATAGTTTAAATTAAGGTAACTGGTAAAATAAAAGCCACACAAAATAACACAAATAAAAAAGAAATTCTTCGTTTTTAAAAATAGTTTGATTGGTTATTTTTTATGTCTAGAAAACATTTTTTTTGTAAATGATTCCAATTTTGACGATTTGACAGTACATTTAAAAAAATAAAATTATTTTTATATTGTTATTAATAATTTAAAACTTTATTAAATACTTAATATTACTGTAGTATTACATGTAATATTAATAATTGTATTAATTAATAATTTATAAATCGGAAAATTAAATTTATAATTTAAGTAAAATTAAAATTTTGAGGCGAACATTTTAATATTACTGTAACACAACCCACTAATAATTTTAAATGTTATCAAAAAGTTCTTAATATTATAAACAAATTTTTTGTAAAAATCTTATATTTGTAAAATTTTATTTTTAAAAAATAATTTTTATTGTTTAATAAAGTGGCCTGATGATGGTGTCAAACTCTGGTCAAACCAAGACACCGAAACGTTGCACAACTAATGTAACATTGTTTCATTTCTCACTCTTCCGATAATCGAATAAAAAAGGATTTACAAATTTTTTTTACATTTAATAATTAAATAATAAATAAAAATTACCTGTATAGGGATCTCTTCCAGCAAGATTTGTAACATTTAAAGGTTCAATTGTGTAGTGATCTTTGAAATGCACAATACGTCGGAAAGCTTTGCCTCCTTTTCCCGGCTCTGGTAAAATCATAGGTCTCCATATTTTTGTTCCTACTTTTTTCTCCGTCGTACGAGGTAAATTTGGAAAAAAATGTCTTGTGTTTTTAAATGATGCAGTTAAATCAATTTGTGGCAAAACACATTTTAAAAGTTTACTCGCTAACATTTTTTTAAGGTTATGACATGCTTATAAACAGTTGCGCCAGAATGTTGGAACCTTCAAGACGATTAATTTTCAAACTCGGTCGATAAGAATGGTATCCGAAACTGCTTACCTTGTGCTGTTAATTTCTTCAGTTTCTATACTTCGTTCACAGATGTCACTATTTTCATTATCACGATATAATTTTATTTAAACTATTTTTAACTGTAAATTAATTTTGTGTTTTGCACAAAATTATATAATTAGGTATAAAATTATAAAATTATTAAATTGTAAAATTATAACAATATAAAATTATATATTATATCATAAATTATAATTATAATTCAATAGTTATTAATTAATTATTATTTAATTTAATAATACATAGGTATTAAATTATTAAACAGGTTTCAAACTCATTATTAGAAATGTTAAAAAAAACAATTTTCCAATTTATCGCTTCACTAACTCATATGTACATACAACCGTGAAATATAATTCTCAAGTAATACATTTATATATACGCTCATCTCATGGAAAACAATGGATTATATGTTCCTGTCTCTCTTTCACAACTTTAACGTCTCGCTTGGGTAAGTGAACTTCAATTGTCCTCATACAATGCCGTAAGTGTCGAAGTGTAAAATCCTCTTTCTTTAAACCCTTTATCGAGTTTATAACAGTTGAATACTTCGAATCCATTATCATACATTTCACAAGCATTCGTATACAATGGCCGCACAATTACTTATCTATAAACTTTTTTGAGTATATAGAGTCACTCAATTTTCACTCCACTTTTCAAAATATCATGTAAACTCTTTCATTTTAATAGCTTTTGTTATATTAAATCTCCACCTCTTTTCAAATTTTAATTATTATATACGCGCTTTTAATTAAACTGGGTCGTATCGTACGATTTGTACAGAAAAAAAGAGAGAGAATAGAAAGAAAATGAAAATATAATTAACAATACGTATTTGTGTTATTGATTATATATTTCTTTTAATTGTCGAAATATAATTTATTTATTTTTTTAATTATACTGTATTGTTGTATTGAAATTACATTTTTTATAAATAAGCCCCCCACACAGTACATAAAATTAATGTGGTTTTGTTAAATATTTGCGCCTATAGCAATATTGTTAATTTTTATCTTTTGTAATCTTATTTTATTGTCGCAATATTGTAGATAAAATTACTGATAAAAATATATAAACTCCAAATAAGAGATGTCTGCTCTCTAAATTTCAATTACCTAATAGTTTTCGAGTAATGAAATTAGTAATGAATTAGTTGCAGTTATGACTATAATTTTCAGTAGTAAATTACTTATATGACTTAAAAAAATTGTTTGCAAAAACTACATTTTAGTAATTAAATAAAGTGACAATTAAATCACTGCAAAGTTAAAACTAAAATCAAATAAAACTAATCTAATGGAGCAACAAATGTCAATCTTCTTCAAAGAAGAAAAACTTTAATATTTTAAACAATTAATTTTGCGCAACTCAAAAATTTTACTCTTGAGTATGAAATAAAGTAGTTTCAATAGAAAAAACCATATAATTACAAAAAAAATAAATTGAAGTTTAAAAGTATCACTTTCAGAAAAATCACCCTTTTCCAAAAAATTTTAAAATGTTTTTAGAAAAATTTCAAAGCGCGAAAAAACATAGTTTAACTAATAAACTAATTTATAAAACCAAAAAAGCAGTTAATTGACTAAAAATAGTTCTTACCTACTACTGATAAGAAAGTTAATAATAACACAGGACCACAAAATTTTTTTAAAGAAAGTATTGACCGGACTATGTTTTTTATGTTTTTTGGGTCACTGAATTCAAATCCGAACTCAGTTTTCCGCCATCACGTCAAGTTTCTTCACAAATTAATAAAATTCGAAAAAATTGACTGTAAACAAGATTTAAATAAAAATAAGCAAAAGATTCTATTAAAAAACAACTTTAAAACACTGAAAAAATATTATAGAATGTTAAACAATCAAAGAAACTCGTAAATATTCAAAATTTAAGATGGCGGATACAATATAGCGTCAATTTTTTTAAAAATTCACCCAATTCGCCTAAATCTTGTTACTCGGGGGTTTTTGGGGTTGCTAAATACGAATTTCACCTTAGTTTTTAAAAATTCAAAATGGCGGATCCAATATGGCTGACCAATTTTTAAAAAAATTATTGGATTTACCTGAAACGTTATACTCGCAGGTTTTTGGGGTCGCTGAATACGAATTTTACCTTAGTCTTCAAAAATTTAAAAACTGATCAATTTTTAAATAATTCGTTAGCCATATTGAATCCGCCATTTTGGATTTTTTAAAATTAAGGTGAATTTTGTATTCAGGGACCCTAAAAACCCCCAAGTAACAAGTTTCGAATAAATCTGATAAATTTTTTAAAAATACTTCAGCCATATTGGATCCGCTATTTTGAATTTTGAACAACTAAGGTGAAATTCGAATTCAGCGATCCCAAGAACCCCCGAGTAACAAATTTCAGGTAAATCTGATACATTTTTAAAAAATTTGACAGCCATATTTGATCCGCCATTTTGAAGAAACTTGACGTGATGGCGCAAAACTGAGTTCGGATTCGAATTCAGCGACCCAAAAGACATATAAAACACATGGTCCGGTCAATAATTTCTTTTAAAAATATTTTATAGTCCTGTGTAATAATTAACAACAAAAAAAGTGTCTGACTAAATCTACTGCTTACTACTCATAAAAGTTTTATTAACTTTTAAAAAAGAGTTGCCTGAGTGAAAATATATTTTTTACTATCTGATAAATAAGTTTATAAAATTTAAAAAAGAAGTCTGACTAAAATTACTCTTTATTATTACGGATAAAAAAGTTGATATCTCCGAAACATCGAAATTTAACTAAAAATACATTTTAGAGGTAAAAAAAATACATTTTACCGATAAACAATTTATAATTTAAAAAAAGTTGTCTGACTAAATATACATTTTTCTACTAATAAATGAGTTTTTAACTTATAAACGAAAGTTATCTGACTAAAGATAGGTAGGTACTTTTTACTAGTTATTAATTATAGAGTTATTAATTTATAAAAGAGAGTAGTCTGACTAAAAACAGTTATTACTACTGCTAACAATTTAATTGCAAACAAAAAAATTTTTTTACTAATATTAAAAAAATTTATAACTTCTAAAAAAGTAGTTTCACTAAAACTATTTTTTATTACTGATAAAAAAGTTAATATCGAACAAATAAGATTTGTCCGACTAAAATTAGTGTTTACTACTGATAAAATATTAATAACATATCTAAAAGAGATATGTCTGGCTAAAATAAACAAGTATACCACTAACATAATAATTAATAATATCTAAAAGACACCGGTCTGTTTAAAAATACTGTTTAGTATTTAAAAAAAAAAAAATAAAAAATAAATAAAATATATATATATATATATATGTTACCGGCAAAGTATGAAATCCAGGCATTTTATAAAATGCCTAGGCAGTATATAAAAAGCCTGTCCATTTCAGGCAATGTATATAATTAAATTATTTTTTCATATATTGCCTAGGCATTTTATAAAATTCCTAGGTATTTTATAAAATGCCCATCGAGCATAAGGTAAAGTATATAATAGTCTCAGCAGCTTGAAACGTCTACCTTTTTCTATAAACACTTTCCACGATTTTTCTATTACAAATAGAAAATAATAAGTATATAACAATAAGTATTTTAGCTATGTTTACATAGCTGCATGTTAGCAGTGAGTAATTTTATACAATGAAGTTCAATATTTCTAACTCTTAAGAATAATACTTAATTAACAGAAAATACAAATTTTGTCAGTCAATTCTCACATTTTGAGGTAATCAGTCGCAGAAACATAAATTTGAACTTAAAATGAGTGCAGAAATAGGAAATGTTTCAGTGACAAGGGATAGATTTTTTCCGAATTTTCTAAAATTAAAAATGCAATGGCAAAAAACAGTATATTTTTATCAGACGAACGGTATAAGCAGTTGATAAGTGATGTTAATAATGTTAAAGCTACCGAGAAAAAGGAACAGGCCAAGGTTTTGTAAAATGTTCTTGTAAAAAACTGTCAAAGCAACAAATATTTATGCATAAAAAATAAGGTCCAGTGTCAGTCGAAATGTCATTCAAGTATGCCGTGTTGTAACAAATAAATTACAAAAGAAAGTTAATATTTTTATAACAGAAAAATGTATATTATTTGAAATAAAACTAAATTTTATACTTTGCCTAAAGTCTAGTGGGCATTTTATATAATGCCTAGGCAATGTATAGAAAATCTTTTTTTTATACACATTGCCTGAGACAGACAGGCATTTTATATACTGCCTAGGTATTTTATAAAATGCCTGATTACATACTTTGCCGGTAACATATATATATATATATATATATATATATATATATATATATATATATATATATATATATATATATATATATATATATATATATATATATATATATATATATATATATATATTCCTCTAAAGGAAAATATTAAAATTTAAGTCAAGCTTCTTTTAACCTATAGGTCAAACATTTTGTCAAATTTTAATATAAGGTAACGACCTCTTGAAGTATTCTAATTAATTTGCTTTTTTGATAAGTAGGTTAAAAAATATGTCAAATTAGACCTAAATTTTGAGAGAAGGTCAGGTCAGAAGGAGTTTTCACGACAATTTTTGCGGTGTAGATAAAAACTGCTTTTAAAATTGACCTAAATTTTGAGGACAGAGGGAATTGTTCGTCAATTTTCTCCGTTTAGGTCAAAATCTTTTAAAATTGACCTACATTTTGAGAGCAGAGGGAATTGTTTGTCAATTTTTGACCTGTAGATTAAAACTGCCCAAGACTACACATTTTTTCATTTTACTCAAGTAAATATTAAAATTTCGTCGCAGCGCTGTAGATCTACGTCATTTATGTTAAATAACCGACAGATTAGCTCGGTCGGATAAATGTCTGGCTCGGCGGACGCTTAGGACCAAGGGTACTTGGTTCGCGCCCATTAGCCTGGGATTT